TCGCGCACGTGCGTGTGCAGATCCGAATGTGGCTCTGAGCGGGTCGCAGCGCGCGGCGCAGCAGACGGTCTGCAGCAGCGCCGCCCCGCGCTGCGCGAGATGGCGCGCGGCCCCGCCTCTGCCGAGGATATCGGTGAGGTGAGGGGGGGAGGGGGGCGAGCGGTCCCTGCGTGCCTCGTCGTGGGCGGCGCGTCCATCTTCGGCGCTCTGCTCGTGGACCTGGTCTGGCCGCCGTCCGAAAATAGCGTGGCTGGCCGCCTGTGGTGGCTGGCAGACCAGAAGTGCGCCGAGCAGATCGGCGACTTGCTCTGGTGCGACGCTCGGGGCGCGCGGACCGATCCCACGGCCGTGGGCAGCATGGGCCGAGGGCTAATCCTCAGCGTGATGGGCGGCCAGATCAGCTATGACCGCGCCGCGGTCAAGTTCAGCGACGAGAAGCTAAATATCGCCGTCCCGAGCTCGCAGCATAGCTCACTGACGCAGAAATGAGGAGATGACTCTCGTGACTATGTCACGAGGTCCCACGGAATCGGAAAAACGATCTGCGACATCAGCGGTCGAGATCGGTGGGTGGGGCACTCCAGTAAGTGGGCTCACTCGGACTGTGTCCGGGTAGCGCGCGGATCTTCCGCCGGCGCTTTTAATCGCGTCGCATATTTTAAGGTGCGGGGTGGGGTGGGTTGGGGGGGGGCTCGCTTGTTTCGGCTAGTCCCGCGGGCTCTGACGGGGGTTTTTCAATTCCATCCACTGGTGCCGTGAAATGTTTTTGCGGTTGGCGCCGCGGGAGGTCGATGCACCCATGGGGCGAAGTAAAGTCCGCCAACTCAGGGCCGCAGGGGCTTGCATAACTCAGGTGAACTTGCCCCCATTGCAGCTAGGTGGCCTTGTATGAAAGAGTGGTTCGTAGAGCCCTCCTTTGCGCTGTTGTGCCGACTGCGCGACGGACGGGCTTGAGCGCCAGACTCGAACGGTAGCTCGCATGTCTCTTCTCACTTTTGCTTGCTGTAATTCTCCCCCGCTTCCGCTGCCATTTGAGCTCTGGGGCCAGGGGGGGGGGGTCTATGTTTCTGGCTAAAAAAGAGTCCAGGCCGATGGCGGCCGTCATTTGTGGGGCGGAGAGGCGGCGTCTGGAAATGCTTCGGAATGACCAAGGACGGGTAGCAGCAGCATGCGGATAGCGATCTGCACCGCAGGGCCTGTGCACACCACAGTGCCTGCGTGCACCGCGGCGCCTGTGTACACCATGCCGCCATATGTACACCACAGCAGTCGCGTGCAACACAGCGCCAGTGTGTTCCACAGTGCCTGCGTGCACCGCAGCATTCGTGCACGCCAGAGCGCCAGCGTACACCGCATCCTCCGTGTGCAACACATAACCAGCCACAGTGCCTGCGTGCACCACGGCGCCTGTGTACACCACGGCGCCATTGTACACCAAAGCAGTCTCGTGCAACACAGCGCCAGTGTGTTCCACAGTGCATGCGTGCACCGCAGCAGTCGTGCACGCTACAGCGCCGGTGTACACCGCATCCGCCGTGTGCAACACATCGCCAGCGTGCACCACAGTGCCTGCGTGCACCACAGCGCCTGTGTACACCACGTCGCCCGTGTGCACCGCAGCAACCGTGTGCAACACGACGCCATTGTCGCCGGTGATTTCCACCAAAAATAATGATTTTATTCACGATTTGGAAAGGAATCCGTCTGGAAAACGGGGCGCCGCTGGAATCTACGAATCCTCCCGAATCTTCCTTCATCATCCTAACTTTTTCCACCTGCGTCCAGGATGTTCCCGCAGAATTGGCGGTCCGACAACCAACTGGACTGATTCAGTAAACCATTCTGGCAGGTCGGAGTGGGATGCGCACGTGCGCTGTGGCGCCGGCCCGCACGACGGGGGGAACGGTGATACAGGAGGAGGACCAGGAGGAGGAAGAGGAGGAGGAGGAGGGAGGAGGAGGAGGAGGAGGAGGAGGAGGAGGAGGAGGATGAGGGAGGAGGAGGAGGAGGAGGAGGAGGAGGAGGGAGGAGGGAGAGAGGAGGAGGAGGAGGAGGAGGAGGAGGGAGGAGAGGAGGAGGAGGAGGAGGAGGAGGAGGAGGAGGAGGAGGAGAGGAGGAGGAGGAGGAGGAGGAGGAGGAAAAGGAAGAAGAGGAGGAGGAGGAGAAGCAAGGAGGAAGGAGGAGCAGGAGGAGGAGGAGGAGGAGGAGGAGGAGGAGGAGGAGGGAGGAGGAGGAGGAGGAGGAGGAGGAGGAGGAGGAGGAGGAGGAGGGAGGAGGAGGAGGAGGAGGAAGGGGAGGAAGGAGGACGACGAGACGACGAGGACGACGAGGACGAGGACGAGGAGGAGGAGGAGGAGGAAGAAGAAGAAGAGGAATACTAAGAAATAGTAATAATATTAAGTATTACGAAGAAGAAAAAACAATAATAATACTAATACTAATAATCGTAATAAGGAATACTAATAAGAACACTGATCATAATAATAATGATAATAATAATAATACTCAGGACTAATAATGAGAGGAGAAGGATGATGATGATGATGATGATGATGATGATGATGATGATGATGATGATGAGGAGGAGGAGGAGGAGGAGGAGGAGGAGGAGGAGGAGGAGGAGGGGGGAGGAGGAGGAGCAGGAGGAGGAACAGGAGGAGGAGGGGGAGGAGGAGGAGGAATATGAAGAAGACGACTCATATTAATAATCAACATATTAAGCTATAAATACTAAGACTAGGCATACGAATACTAAGAACGATGCTGCTAATCTTACACAGAAGATGAATATTCGTGCGAAGAAGAAGCATACGGCGACTCAGATTCATAATAACAGGAGCATCAAACACCACACTAATAATACTTGTCGAATGCATACAACGAATAATAATACGAAGCAGAGTGACAATACTATTAGTACTGACAAGACGAAGAATACGACGGATGAAGATGAGGATGCCAATGCTAGCGATACTATTACAAATGAGACTGATAGTCGTAATTCTAACAATAGGAATATGACGGAGACAAATGATTAACAACGGAGCCGTATTATTAACAACCATAATATTACGAGTCATAATTGTTAATATTACGATTGCGAAGAAGGAACAGTCGACTAATAAGAAGAATGATAGTAACAATAATCATACAAGAAAGCTAGTAGTATGAATAAACATACTAGTAATACTAACACTACTTCTACTACTCAGAAGACGCACGATGATCATCATACCAATCAGACTAATAATACGAGCCATGAAGATACTACGAAAAAGAAAACACATACTATTAGCACTACTGGTACTACTTATAAACATATTCGTCATACGGAAGACAAGAACAACACCACTAACTATAATAAAAAGATAATGCTAAAAGATAATAGGACGAGTATTACTGATCATAATACTATGAATACGAAGAACAGTAATCATACTAATCAGAAGACGACGGACGATTAGGACTACTACTATTATTAATAATACTAAGGGAAACGCGAAAACGAATACAAATAATACTTGTACTGACACTACTAATAAGAACACTTGTACTAATATGAAGAATAACGAGAGAACTGACACTAGTACTAATAAGAGTACTAATACACGTAATACGAATGTTACTACCAATGACCATCATACTTTTGACATCGCCCTAATCGCGAGCGATTAGGGCGTCAAAGATGGCCCAATATGCCACCAAGATGGCCCAATCTGCTCCAAGATAGCCTCCAATATAGCCCGATAAAATTCAAGGTGGCTCAAAATAGTTCCCCAAATGCATCCCAAAAGCCCGGAGAGCACGGAGAAAAGGACACAGCGCAAATCGGAAATTGCAGCCCACACGGGGGGGTCCCCCCCAACACGCGCGGCCACCCCCTACATCCATAATGTGTCTGCTCCCCCTCCTCTTCGTCCTCCTCTTCCTCCTCCTCTCCTCCTCCTCCTCCTCCCTCCTCCTCCTCCTCCTCCTCCTCCTCCTCCTCCTCCTCCTCCTCCTCCTCCTCCTCCTCCTCCCCGTCCTCCCCCTCCACCTCCACCTCCTCCTCCTCCTCCTCCTCTTCCTCCTCCCCCTCCCCGAATAGGGGAAAGAGGGGCATGGGAAGAATCATATGGAAACCCGATGCCACGTGTGCCCAGAGCTGGTGGGATTATTTTTGTTTGCGCTGTGGCAGTGGAGGAGAGAGTCCTCTTTCTATCTCCACCCCTCGGTTCTCTCGGCAGCTTCCCTCCGCCATCTGCGGAGGCTGTTCTCTGCAGCTTTTCGAGCGGGTCCATTGCTCCACCTGCGGCCCAGTCTGCTGTCTCGTGAATGTTTGTTTTCTCGTTTCTCTGCCATTCGATGTTTCAAAACCCTCTTCCTGTTCCACCCCTCCTCCTTTTCCTGTTCCTCCTCCGCCTCCGCGAAGTTGGCGGATCGGCCCTCTTCGTTCTGAAGTGTGCGCCTGGCGCTCCACCCGACGTTCTCCCTGCAGTGTCGTATCCTCCGAGTGAGGAGCTCCGCAGGAGGTGCCTCCGCAGGAGGGGTCTCTGCAGGAGGATCCTCCGCAGCAGGAGCCCCTCCTGTGGCAGCGGAGGGCCCTCCTGCAGGAGCACCCTCCGCCACCACAGGAGGGGCTCCTCCACCCGAGGTGCCGCCGCAGCCGTGCGGCGGCCCGCGGCAGCCCCGCGGCGCCGCCGCATGCGCCTCCGGCGTCCCGGCGGCCTGCGCGGCGCACGGCTGGTCCGCTCCCCCGCCCACGACGCCGCCGACGGCGGCGGAGGCGATCACGGCCACGGCGGCGGCGACGAGGCCGGCTGATAGCGACCAGACCGCCGACCGCAGCGGCGACGACGCCACCGACGATGGCGACGCTGCCGCCGACATCGACGAGGCTGGCGGCGACGATGACGGCGACGACGACGCCCAGGTAACGGCCGTTACAAGAATCAATGAAAGAGATCCTCGAGACGCGATCATGTTTGGGCCCGCCGCCGCCCCCGAAGCGCGCGCACGAGGCTCGCGGGCGCCCGCCGCCGCTTCGGCTGCGGCAGCCGGCACACGCCAGCCGCGCGGGCGGCCGAGGCGCATCGCTTGCACGCGCCTGCGCGCGCGCTGCTGCTCCCCGAAGGCATTGTTTGAAGGCGTGCATTTCTTCAAGGCAAAACACAACATCTAGACCTCCTAGATGACGTCCAAGGCAGACGGGGTCGGAGGATCGCGCCGCATCGCCGATGCATCGCCGATGCATCGCCGATGCGTCTCGATGTGGAGCCCGATTTCCGCCACGCCGACGGCGGCGATGCGTCGCTGACGTCGCCGATGCATCGCCGATGCGTCGCCCAGGCATTGGCGATGCGGCGCGATCCTCCCACCCCATCTACTCGGACTCCATCCAGGGGACGCCTCTAAAACAACTGTAAAAAACAAGTTGCCTTCACCGTTTTTGGGGCCTTCAGTGAGCTTATCGCCGCAAACCCTCTGCAAGCATGCCGTTGCAAATTGTTGCCTTCACATGTTTTCCAAACCAGCCTGTGGTGTTGGGTCCTCGTTTTGAAGTAATAGCACCCCGCGTCTCCTTCTTCCTCTTCGCTCCTCACCCTCCTCGACTCTGCCCTCCGCATGTCTCTGTTTCGGCACACCCAGTACAGCGTTTCGTGGTCCCATAGGAAGCTCAACCGAAGGTCCCAGAGGCGGAACTCGCATACGTCCCCGCCGCCCAGTAAAGCGTTTCGTGGCCCCACAGGGAGCTTCACCGAAGCTCCCAGTGGCGGAACTCGCATACGTCCCCCCGCCCGGTACAGCGTTTGGTGGCCCCATAGGGAGCTTCACCGAAGGTCCCAGTGGCGGAAGTCGCATGCGTCCCCCGCGCCAGGTGCTAGGGAGCTCCACCGAAGGTCCCAGTGGCGGAACTCGCCTGCGTCCCCCCGCCCAGTACAGCGTTTCGTGGTCCCATACGGAGCTCCAACGAAGGTCCCAGTGGCGGCACTCGCATACGTCCCCTCCGCCCAGTACAGCGTTTCGTGGCCCCACAGGGAGCTCCACCGAAGGTCCCAGTGGCGGAACTCGCCTGCGTCCCCCCGCCCGGTACAGCGTTTGGTGGCCCCATGGGGAGCTTCACCGAAGGTCCCAGTGGCGGAACTCGCATGCGTCCCCCCCTGCCCAGTAAAGCGTTTCGTGGCCCCATAGGGAGCTCCACCGAAGGTCCCAGTGGCGGAACTCGCATGCGTCCCCCCCTGCCCAGTACAGCGGCGTTTCGTGGTCCCACGGGGAGCTCCACCGAAGGTCCCAGTGGCGGAACTCGCATGGTCCCCCCCGCCCAGTACAGCGTTTCGTGGTCCCATACGGAGCTCCAACGAAGGTCCCAGTGGCGGCACTCGCATACGTCCCCTCCGCCCAGTACAGCGTTTCGTGGCCCCACAGGGAGCTCCACCGAAGGTCCCAGTGGCGGAACTCGCCTGCGTCCCCCCGCCCGGTACAGCGTTGGTGGCCCCATAGGGAGCTCACCGAAGTGGTCCCAGTGGTGAACTCGCATGCGTCCCCCCACCAGGTACTGCGTTTCGTGGCCCCATAGGGAGCTCCACCGAAGGTCCCAGTGGCGGGAAACTCGCATGCGTCCCCCCCTGCCCAGTACAGCGGCGTTTCGTGGCCCCACGGGGAGCTCCACCGAAGGTCCCAGTGGCGGAACTCGCATGGTCCCCCCCGCCCAGTGCAGCGTTTCGTGGTCCCATACGGAGCTCCAACGAAGGTCCCAGTGGCGGCACTCGCATACGTCCCCCCCGCCCAGTACAGCGTTTCGTGGCCCCACAGGGAGCTCCACCGAAGGTCCCAGTGGCGGAACTCGCCTGCGTCCCCCCGCCCGGTACAGCGTTTGGTGGCCCCATAGGGAGCTTCACCGAAGGTCCCAGTGGCGGAACTCGCATGCGTCCCCCCCTGCTCAGTAAAGCGTTTCGTGGCCCCATAGGCAGCTCCACCGAAGGTCCCAGTGGCGGAACTCGCATGCGTCCCCCCCTGCCCAGTACAGCGGCGTTTCGTGGCCCCACGGGGAGCTCCACCGAAGGTCCCAGTGGCGGAACTCGCAAGGTTCCCCCCCGCCCAGTGCAGCGTTTCGTGGTCCCATACGGAGCTCCAACGAAGGTCCCAGTGGCGGCACTCGCATGCGTCCCCCCCTGCCCAGTACAGCGTTTCGTGGTCCCACAGGGAGCTCCAACGAAGGTCCCAGTGGCGGTACTCGCCTGCGGCCCCCCCCGCCCAGTACAGCGTTTCGCGATAGCGGCTGTTGCTGACCCCGGCAGCACCCACCCAGGTAACGTCACGATTCGTGCTGCCCCCCTCCCTCCATGCCACGCGCGAGAAGCTTGGGAAGCTGGGGAAACCTGGGAATGCCCCTTCTCCCACGCCCCCCTCCAGACATACATCTGGCGCTGTTTTTTGTGCGCAGCGTGTCTGCCCAGGGGTCTGAAACCCTTCCTTGGGACCAGCGCTTCATCCTGGGAAGATTTCAGACGGCCGGGGGGCTCGGCAAGGGCTCCCAGATTCTGAAAATAGCCAAAAGAATCCGCCGCGATTCTTCTCTTGTCGAGGCTGACTCGTAGGTCGACCCTGCCAAGACAAGGCTATGGCAGTGTTCACCAGAGAAGAAGGAACCACCACCACCATCTATGGGGGGCTGGCCGATCCCCTCTGCCGAACTGGTGGCACCCCTTTCGGGGCGCGCCCCCAGGGAGAGCCCAGATCGGAGTGCCACCAGCTCGGGTGGGTGGTTTTTGGGAACGGAGTTCTGTGGAGTTCTGGAAGTGGTGGTGGTTCTTCTTGCTCCCAGGAGGTGTGGCCCTCTCAAGGCTCTTGTGTCCTCTCGCGTGCCCTCTCCAGTCCGCCCCGGCTGTACAGCGCGAAGATGTCACGGGGCCGTCTCTGCGGCGCGGCCCCTGGCCGTCCTGATCCGCGCGCGCGTGCCGCAGCATTTTCTGGCCCTGTAGACAAGCCAGAGGCGGTCGCCGCCGCCAAGGGAGGGGCCGCCGGGAACCCAGCGACTCAGGCCAGCGCGGGTCGCCGCCGTCGTCGTCGTCGTCGCCGTCTTCTTCTCATTCGTCGTCCTCGTCGATGTCGTCGTCATCGTCGTCGTCGTCGTCGTCGTCGTCGTCGTCGTCGTCGTCGTGGGGTGAGGAGGAGGGGTATTGATGGATGGATTGAGGGGGGAGGAGGAAGGAAAAGGAGGGGAGATGTAGGACAGGGGAAGAGCAGGAGCAGGAGAAGGAGAAGGGGGAGGGGGGGGGAGCGGGATGGGGATGATGAGGAGGAGGTGTAGGAGGAGGCGCAGTGGGAGGAGGATCGTTTCAAAGTTTTGAGGGGGCCCCAGCAGAAGGAGGGTGAGGAGGGTGAAGTGCATGGCGATGATGGCCGTGCCGATGATGATGGTGAAGGTGAGGATGTTGGTGATGGTGATGCTGCTGATTCTGATCACGATCAGGAGGATGAGAAGGCATAGGAGGCTTACCAGGCGTAGAAGGAAGATAACGCTGGGGGAGCTTTTACTGTTGGGTTTGATTGCCTTTGCATTTTTGTTGTGGTTGTTTGCTTGGTTGAGATTCCGTGAACAAATAGTAATTGTGGATCCCCCCTTCCCCAGTGCCCATTGTGTTTTTGAATGAACGTGCTCCTCCTGGGGCTCGCACCTTGTTCTTTTACAGGGGGAAGTGAAGTCTTGGGCCTCAGGTTGGCTTGTTGGCTCCCGCTTTACCGCAGCAGCGGTGCCCGCATGAGATTTCTTCGCAATGTATGCAAACGTCGCGCTCTCGCGCGGGACTTCCCCAGAATGTATGCAGCTCTCGCGCTCTCGCGTGGGACTTCTCTCAATGTATTCAGACTTTGCGCCCTCGACACTCAGGAATCACGATCTCGCTCGGGCCTTTCTCACGATATACTTGGGAATCGCGCTATCGCTCGAGAATTTCCTGCGATTCATGTGGGACTGACGCTTTAGCAACCCGCCTGCTCGACCTGGCCGCCTGGGCCCGCCTTCTCGACCAACCCGGTAGGTCCACCCGCCCGATCTGCCCGTCTGGTTCTGGTAAGCGCGTTTTCCGTTCCTAGCCCCCCTCCTGTTTTTTTTTTTTTTTTTTTTTTTTTTTTTTTTTTTTTTTTTTTTTTTTTTTTTTTTTTTTTTTTTTTTTTTTTTTTTTTTTTTTTTTTATTGTTTTTTATTTATTTTCTCTCTGTCTCTCTCTCTCTCTCGTGTTCCATGCTTCTCCCTCTCCCTTGTCCCTTCCTTCCATCCGTCCGCTCTTCCGGGTCCGCCACATACACGTTGCAGGTGAGGAAGATACATCACCAAGGAGTTACGATCGAAGACGAAGAGGGCAGGTTTCGAGGGTGTGTGATCTGAGTATTGGACGGCACTCGAGCAGATAAGAGCGAACATGCTCAACATGATGGTTGTTGTTGTTGTTGTTGTTGCTGCTGCTGCTGTTGTTGAACTCTCACTTCTGAACAATGATTATCGCTGATCCCCCCTCACCGGTGCATACTGTTTTTTCTCAATCAAAGTGTGCCCCTCGACGCTCGCACCGTGTTTTTGGACAGGGGAAATCTTCGTGCTCAAACTGGGCCCCTGGCCCCCCAGATTCCAATAACAACGGCTCCCGCCTGAGATTTCCTCCAAATTTACTCAGGACCCCCGCTCTTGATACTTCCTCACAATTTACTCAGGATCGGTGCTCCCGCCTTTGACTTACTCGCTATTTAGTCAGGGCCCCCGCTCCCATCTGAGAATTCTTCACAATTTACTCAAGAACGGCGCTCCTCCTTGAGACTTCCTCGCAATTGAGTCAAGACTTCTCTCAATTTAAGACCCTCGCTCCCGCCAGAGAACCCCTCACATGTTATTCAGGAATTGCGCTCTCGCCTGTGACTTCCAGGGAATTTATTCAGAAATCGCGCGTTCAACGCTCAGGAAACAAGCTGCGCCAAGGACGCCGCTACAAATTACTCAGTAATCGCGCTCTCGCCATACTCAGGCGTCCCGCTTGAATGTCCCACCCGCCCGACCCGCCCGTCCGGGGATCGCCCGCTCGCCGTGGGCTCCCGCCCGAGACTTCCTTCAGGAACGGCGCTTTTGCCTAGGACTTCCTCGAACGTTCACGCTCTTACCTTCCTGCTCCTCCTTCCTCTCCCTCCTCCCTCCTCCCTCCTCTCCTCCCCTCTCTCTCCCTCCTCTCTTCCCTCATCCTTCTGCCTCTCTGCTCTATCCCCTCTCCATCCTCTCCTTCCTCCCTTCTCCCTCCCCTCTTTTGGCTTCTCCCTCCCTCTTTCTTTCTCTCTCTCTCTCTCTTTCCCCCCTCTCTTTCTCCTTTTTTTCCCCCCTCTCTCTCTATAATCAACCGCCCTTCTCTTCGCTCCTTCTCTCCTGGCGTTTTCCTCCTTCCTTCGTCCCTCCCCCTCCCTTCCTCCCACTCTCCCTCGTTCTCCCCCTCCTCTTTCTGCAGGGCCCACACCAAGTCCAATGGCGGGCACATGTACGCCCACGAAGGATTGTCCGCCCGTTCAGGTTTGCCCGCCCGTCTACGCCCGCCGCCCCCCCGCAAATAGAAAGAGACCCCCCAAAGGGGGTTGTGATCGAAGACAAAAAAGGCCTGGTATCGAGGGTGTGGGGAACTCGTCTTGAATGACACACGGGCAAGTAAGAGCGAACAGTCTTATAATGATTGTTGTTGTTGTTGTTGTTGTTGTTGTTGCTGTTGTTGTTGTTGCTGTTGCTGTTGTTGTTGTTGTTGTTGTTGTTGTTGGTGTTGTTGTTGTTGTTGTTGTAGTTGTTGTTGCTGTTGCTGTTGCTGCTGCTGCTGCTGTTGTTGTTGTTGTTGTTGTTGCTGCTGCTGCTGCTCCTGTTGCTGTTGTTGTTGTTGTTGTTGTTGTTGGTGGTGTCGTTGTTGTTGTTGTTGTTGTTGTTGCTGCTGCTGCTGCTGTTGCTGTTGTTGTTGTTGTTGTTGTTGTTGTTGAACATTATTAATTCTAAAGAATAATTATTGTTGGGCCCCCTGGTGCACGCCCCCCCCCCGCGCCTAGGCCGCAGCCACATTTTCATCATTTTCGTGAGGAAGCCTCAGGTAAAACGATGTGATCCAGATCCGGTTGTTTTGTTGTAATCCGTTTTCCCTTGCAAAAAACACTATAAAATGACATTTCTTGTTCTAATATAATCAAATTTCAAGAATCCCTTGCAAAAAATAAGGTAAAGTGGACATTCGCGCGCGCAAGACGAAATCCTTCCAAAAGCTTAGTGTTCGGAGCGATTTTAACATAAAAACATCAAAAAACCAATGGTTTTTCAACAAAAAATGTCAAAATCTCATCCCGCGCGCTCTTGCGGATTCGTAGGAAACCCAACACTTTTTAAACATTTCTGTCAAACGGGCTTTTGCGAGCAACTTTTTCGAACTTCTGCAACAACGGTTGCGCACCTGCCAGGGCCATCATCCCTGTCAAATAATACCATGCGGGACACATTCGTTTTTTCTTCGCGCGCGCACGCCGTCGTCGTCGGCCGCGGGGCCCTGAATAGTAGCCACGGTCGTCCGCATGCCACGAAGTGAAGTGTCCGAACGTCATAGGGCGGGAAGCTGGGTGTGGGTGGTGGCGAAGAGTCGTTTGGAAATTTGGTAGAGCTTGAACCGGCCCCCCCACAAAGTGGGGGTATTGCCCGCCTCCTATGAAAACCCTGGCACTGGTGAGAACGGAGTGTCCCCAGTCTTAAATGATTGTTGTTGTTGAACATTATTTATTCTAAAGAATAATTATTGTTGGGACCCCTGGTGCGCGACCCCCTCGCCGCGCCTAGGCCGCAGCTACATTTTCATCATTTTCGTGAGGAAGCCTCAGGTAATACGATGTCATCAAGATCCGGTTGTTTTGTTCCCCCCCGCTGTCCCTTGCAAAAAACACTATAAAATGAAATTTCTTGTTCTAAAATAACCAAACTTCAAGAATCCCTTGCAACAAATAAGGTAAAGTGGACATTCGCGCGCGCAAGACGAAATCCTTCCAAAACCTTAGTGTTCGTAGCGATTTCAACATAAAAACATAAAAAACCATTTTTTTTTTTGTTAAAACAAAAAAGTGTCACAATTTCATCCCGCGCGCTCTTGCGGATTTGCAGGAAACCCAACACTTTTTAAACATTTCTGTCAAACGGGCTTTTGCGATCAACTTTTTCGAACTTCTGCAACAACGGTTGCGCACCTGCCAGGGCCATCATCCCTGTCAAATAATACCATGCGGGACACATGTCAAATAAGTCATTGAAACCATGCGCCAGTGTAGTAGCCACGGTCGTCCGCATGCCACGAAGTGAAGTGTCCGAACGTCATAGGGCGGGAAGCTGGGTGTGGGTGGTGGCGAAGAGTCGTTTGGAAATTTGGTAGAGCTTGAACCGGCCCCCCCACAAAGTGGGGGTATTGCCCGCCTCCTATGAAAACCCTGGCACTGGTGAGAACGGAGTGTCCCCACGTGCTAGTAATTGTTGTTGTTGTTGTTGTTGTTGTTGTTGTTGTTGTTGTTGTTGTTGTTGTTGTTGTTGAACCTTAATTACTAAACAATTATTATTGTTGGACCCCCTATATTCGCCCTGGCGCTCTCGCCGAGGCGCCGGCCGCATTTCCTTTGAAATTGAGGCTCACGCTCAGGCGTTTTGGGGTTCCGCCAAAACCGGCCCCCCAACAACAACAACGCTCCGGCTCGAGACTTCCTCCTTTTTTACTCGGGCTCGGTGCTCTTGCTCGCCGCCGAGAGCGGCTCCCGGGCCGGACGCCCGGGTCGGCGCCCGAGCCGGCGCCCGGGCGCCGGAAAATCGAGTTCCGAGGCGGCGCCGAAAAAAGGCCATTCCAATACACATTTTTCTTTCGAAAATGCTGAATTTCTGCTTCCGGCGCCCGGGAGGGAGGCCGTCCGGGCCGATTCCGGAGCTCGGGCCGGCACCCGGCCCGGCTCCCGGGCCGGACGCCCGGGTCGGCGCCCGAGCCGGCGCCCGGGCGCCGGAAAATCGAG